CACCGGTGACCGCTTGTGGAATAATTTTCAAATACAACACAACATATTGTGTACTTCAGAGAACATCACATCACATATCAACAGCTATAAGTGCCCACTGCTGACCATAAGCTGCTTCTCTCACGGAGAATCTTTGAGCATTAATCACCACGTTTACTTAATTACGTTTAACTTATTTTTTTTTACTTTGCCCCACTCTAGCATTGTCTCCTGTGTCGTGGGTGCGTTTACAAACATACAAGTTCACATACACAATGACACCCAGACGCGAAACAACAATTTGTGGATCATACAAAGAGTTGCTCCGTGCAGGAATTGAACCAGCTACACATTTACTACCAGATACTCTCTTTGAATCAAAGATTACCTTTAAATACTTTTTCTCAAAGCCAATCGGCGCAACTAAACCTTTTTTAGACCGGTTACTACCAATCATAAATAACTAACGATTATAGACAACTACTCATGACATAACTCCACTCACTTATGAGATAACTGAGACTTATATTTGCTGTTATTATCCATCCTTTTTAAACTGGCCGTAAGCTGCTTAAATATATCGTAACTATATACTTTGGGTGACTACTAATGTCCGAATTTACAATCTATAAATGTGGACAGAAGGACCACATAGGGAGATAAATTTTAAATTAAAAGAATAATGTTATTGCATGTCTGCTTGATTGACATGATTGTGTGGTTTCAGGGTTGCGGGTAGACAAACTAATACTATTTTTATTTTTAAACGACTTTGGAAAAGAAAAAACGATATTCTCAATTTGACCTGTACGTATGTATGTATGTATGTATGTGTATGTATGTTTGTGCGCGATTATCTCGCGATGGGCTGAACTGATATTGATGGAGTTTTCGGAAAAGTATCTGTTAATCTTAGGAGAAGGTTTTAGTATAAATATTAATTAACCGAGTTCAATAAAGAGGGCGTTGAAGTCGGTTTTCTTAAACGGAGTTTATAAAATAATGATTTAATTCCCAGTTAAGGTATGATATGTGTCGTAAATTTAAGCTGACTAGCTGACGAAATCAATAATCAATTTCAATCCATTTTTTTTACTTTTATCTCTACATAAGATAATAATAATAGATATAGAATAGATAATAGAAAAATCTGACAAAAAAGAAGATTTGTTTATAGATTAATTCATTTCGGCCGTAAGTAATCACAATTGCCGCGGAGAACTTATCGGGTTACTGGGGCTCGAAGAGCAGGAGTAGGAACGGGGTGGTTTTTAGTCATTAAGAGTCTGACACTCCCTCTCGCCTCACCCACCCAGGAGAAGGTACACGATAGATTCCCCTCTTTAAAAAAAAAGTAATTACAATTAACAGAGACCGTAGTAGCGTTCTTTGATACATATAATTGAACCTTCTAAACTGAGATTGCCAAACTTGCAAAAAACAAATGCTGGGGGTCAATACTTGTGTCAATACTAATACTACAGTGAATTGCTACGGGTTGCTATTAATGACCTCGGACAATGTATACCGTCTGAACATTAATAGGTACACATCGACTTATACGGGAAAAGTTGGTCCTTCTGCCCCATTTTCTATATTATACCGCTGTCCATTACACGCCACTACGAAACCTAAGTAGCTCATTGCCAAACAGTACATTTATTAGTCCCATGCACCACGATACTCTTACTCGAACGTTACGCAATTACAATATTTGAACAAGTGGCGCGGTGAATGGGACAAAATAAAACTGTTACACATTTAGTTCAAATATGGAAGTGGAACGGGTTTGTTTAAATTTAAAGTGTTGTAATAAATAAATAATCGATACAGTAATTGCAATAGGTACTCATTTTTTTTTATTATTCTGAGAAATCTGAAAAGACTGCCTCTTTGGCCGAGTGGTCGCAAGTGCGCCTGCCGAGCAAGGGGCTAGGGTTCGATTACCGCGTCGGGCAAAGTATTACTGGGTTTTTAATTCTCAGTAAGTAGCACGGAGCCTGGAATTGTGCCCGGTATATGGCAATAGGCTCATCCCCTATTACATGGGACTCATAACATAAATAGTGAAAAGTGGGTGATACATTGTATAGTGGCATTAAGTGCCGTAATGTGCACTTTTGGTGCCTAGTAGTCTCTGGTGCCTCAAGGTGCTGAGGGTGGACACCGGGGACATTTTAGTAAGATACGAATCCCACACTCCCTAGTCTTTCTCATCAAAAAACAAGGCGCCGTTTGAACGTCTCCCCCCTCCCCAAAAAAAAGACATGTCTACCAAAGCCTGGCAATGCCGCGCTACTTCACCGAACGTGGTAGGCGACACGTGTCCCAGGACATTAATTATCCCCTAGTGTATCCATGGCTTGAACCTTTTAAACTACTATCTACAATCTGCTTGCTAGGCATGAAGATAGAAATTAAATATTGAAGATTGTATGAGTCACGGAGAACCTAACGGGTAACCGGGGCTCCGGCTCGACGTGCAGGAGAAGGAACGGGGTGGTTTTTAGTCAGTAAGAGTCTGACACCCGCCTCACCCAGGCGGGAGCAGCCATTCGATGATTTTCCCCCCTTAAAAAAAAGGCACGAAGATAAAATGAAACCCTTTTATTGAATCGAGGCCCTTAGTTCAGCAATGGACATTCACTGGTTTTCAACTAAGAACAACTTAATATTTACAAAAATCCATCACGTCTATTTGTCAAGGACAGTTTAACTTCGAACTGCAAGAAAACGTGCGCGTACGCAATGTCACAGAGATTGTAGGCAGGATTGTAGTACTGGGCACTGCACGTGATAACGGCTAGGTTTTAGTAATGTTATTTAGGGTATTGGTATAAGTAAGACCTAGATTTTTGTTAGGTTTAACATTGTTCGTTTACATGAAGTGTTGTGTTTGATTATGTTAATATTTGAGCGTGCATAAGATTCGTTTCCAACTATTCAAGTAATATGTTGCAGCAGGGATACAATACAGGGTTCGATAATTATAATAAAATGAAAAGCTATTAAGTGTGGGAGAGCCATGCTTCGGCACGAATGGGCCGGCTCGACCGGAGTGATACCACGGCCTCACAGAAAACCGACGTGAAACAACGCTTGCGTTGTGTTTCGTCGTGTGAGTGAGGTTACCGGAGGCCCAATTACCTTCCCCTTCCTCAATCTCCCCAATCCCTGAATCCCCAACGAACCTCAAACTCCTAATCCCCAAAAAGCCGGTGACGCACTTGTAACGCTTCTGGTGTTCCAGGTGTCCATGGGCGACGCCGATTGCTTACCATCAGGTGATCCGTCTGCTCGTTTACCGGCTTATGCCATAAAAAAAAAAAAAATAATAATTCTGATACAGTGTTGTACAATTTTTACATACATAGGTATATAGATAACTTCACGCCTTTCTCCCATGATGTAAGGCAGAGACTATGGAACGCCAATTGCTACGATTCCTACATAGTATACCTCTTTGGCTTCATTAACAGTCATCAATCTTTTAGAATTTTTCAATGTTTAAAACAGTCTGTGATGTTATGGAGTCATCAAATGAGTACATTATACGTCAACTACATTTCTCTATATTAGATGAAAACCATTACAGTATGACTTGGATTATGAAATAAAAAAACCGATCTTACATTTAATATAGTTATTGTTGTCGCGGAGAACCTAACGGGTTACCGGGGCTTCGGCTCGACGTGCAGGAGAAGGAACGGGGTGGTTTTTAGTCAGTTAGAGTCTGACACTCCCTCCCGCCTCACCCAGGCGATAGCAGTCATTCGATGATTTTTCCCCCTTTAAAATAAAAACAGAATATAGTTCAATAGCTATATTCTGTTTTTATTGTATTATTTGTTATTATTATTGTAACAATTTACACACTCATTGTTACTCCTTCACATAGCAAACGAAGTGATTATTACATTTACCTATAAAAATACCTACTTATTTAAAGGCGTACACCACTTGACCAATTCGTAACGTATACAGCAAGGCTCGGTCCTTTCACCCACTGCGCCACTCTCGAAGCTTTACGACCTTGTTCTTACATAACTATTGTTATAAAGTCATAACTTCCATATAGAAGTAGTATAGATATTACATTTATTTCTGAAAATTAATATTAACATTTCCTTTTTTTAAAAAACGTTGCCCCACACTAGGATTATCTCCTGTGCCGTGGGTGCGTTTATAAACATACAAGTTCACACACACATGACACCCAGACCCGGAACAACAATTTGTGGATCACACAAAGTGTTGTTCCGTGCGGGAATCGAACCCGCGACACGTTGCACGTCTCAATGAGACTTATGACGTAACTGGTCCAAAGTAGGCGTTACATTTAATATGTTTTTGCCACTAGTACCATAATTGTTATTGTATTGTAATGAGGGGCGAGTCCATTACCAAACACCGAATACAAGTCTAGACTTTATACTATTACTAAGAATTTTGCAATAAAAAATTGTATGCTCAGTAGCCGTGCTTGCAAATTGTAGGCAAACTAGTTTAATTTGAAATACACAAGTACCCAATCTAAAGTGCATGTAAACGCCTTTTCCTCTTGGATAGGTTCTCTAAGTGTGGGAGAGCCATGCTTCGGCACGAATGGGCAGGCTCGACCGGAGTGATACCACGGCCTCACAGAAAACCGACGTGAAGCAACGCTTACGTTGTGTTTCATCGTGTGAGTGAGGTTACCGGAGGCCCAATTACCCTCCCCTTCCCCAATCGCCCCAATTCCTGAATCCCCAACGATCCTCAAACTCCTAATCCCCAAAAGGCCGGTAACGCACTTGTAACGCCTCTGGTGTTCCAGGTGTCTATAGTCGACGCCGATTGCTTACCATCAGGTGATCCGTCTGTTCGTTTACCGACTTATGCCATAAAAAAAACTAAAAATCGCAGGATACTCACGAAAAGAAAAGTATATTCACGTGAGTAACCCGCGATTTTTAGTTAATTTAGTATGTCTTTCAATTTGTTGAAGTCCCGTATTAATAGTCTATTTTGTCTTGTTTCAGAGTGAATCATGTGGCGATTACTGCTGACGACAGTTCTGTTAGCGACCGCGCGGTCTAAACAGCTACCTTCATCCACTGGTGAGTACAGAAAAATATACAAAAAATAGAGGTAATATAAAAATTGCCATTGAACTTTGCAATGCTGGCAGTCTTTTAGGCACCGTACCTCACGATAACGATGAGGGAAATTTTTTTGATGCCTTAAGCTAATATTTTTGCAATAAAAAGTATGATAGCAAGGCATGTAAAATCTCAGAAATAACACTCACAATATCAGAAAGTTGAACTCAAGATCCTCATTACTCGTTCACATACCTAATTATGTGACCCCTTAGTCGACTAGGCAGTCAGTAAGAAGAATGAAAAACAAGTCAAAAATTTGGTGGGTACGTAATAACACTGTAATGTCTTTGACAATAATTTAAATGATGTCTTTATGTTGCTTTTATGATACATTTAACAGCATCATTACAACTACTTTATGTGAAAGAACTCTGAGGAACAGACTTATTAACTCGAGTCGAATTAGCCGGTAAACGAGCAGACGGATCACCTGATGGTAAGCAATCAGCGCCGCCCATGGACACCTGGAACACCAGAGGCATAGCAAGTGTGTTACCGGCCTTTTGGGGATTAGAAATTTGAGGGTTGTTGGGTTTCTAGGATTGGGGAGATTTGGAAATTGATTTATACGTAGGCCTCCGAATTGAGATACCTAGGTAATCAGGCCGCCGGTAACCTCACTCACATGACGAAACATAAACACCAGTGTTGGTTAGCGTCAGTTTTCTGTGAGGCCGTGTTATCACTCAAGTCGGTCCATTTGTGCCGAAGCATGGTTCGCACAAATTGTTTAAAAGTTTTTACTTGTTAAATTAACCTATTATTAAGACTTGGTAGAGCTTATTGATAAACGGAATCAAAACCAGTCAGGATTGACGATTTCCAAAAATACCTAATAAATAGTTACTAACCATATTTTTGCAATCTTCCGCAAACCGACCATCGAACTTAGACAACAAAAAGCCGACAAAGCTCAAACAAGAACAAACCATACTTCCTTAACAACAAAATCCATTTTACATTCTCCTCTCAAACCACCTAATGTGTAAAAAATTGCAATCACGACTCTTACACAAAGAAGGTTGTATATCCTTTAAAAATTTACTTTAGACCGTTTACCTTTGTTCATTATAAAAAGTAGCCCACGCCACAGTGTAGATAACTCTGCAGTAGGTCAACGCCTTTCATTTTTGCTGTTTAGCGAATGGACTGGGCTTGTGTTGTAATCTGAGGTGTCCTGCTGTTTTGATCATGTGCAATGAGAGGTGTTATACGCTCTGTTATAGACTTCAACCTTCTTTAAAAATTGATATATGTATTAAGTGCATAAAGGTATTTTTACTTGCTTTTTATTGGCCAAGTGGTCGCAAGTGCGACTCGGGTCTCGGGTTTACTGGATACTTCGGATTACTCAGTATATTAAAAAAATTTTTGTAGTACCACTGAGTCTGGAAATGTGCCCGGTATATGGCAATAGGCTCACCTCCTATTACATCGGACTTATAACATAAATAGTGAAAAGTGGGCGTTACTTCTGTGTGCACCTCAGCCTACCCACTCGGAGATAAAAGGCGTGATGTTATGTTATGTAATTAATATTGTCCACGCAGTCTTTGGACATAGGCCTGTTACAATAGAACTATAAGGTAATAGGGAGTGTAGCAATCTACACTTAGATCTACAATTAGATACTACCTCTACAATATTAGTATCCTTTAGCTTATCCCTTCAGGATAGAGATAACGTATTTCCAGTCTCTATTTTTTAGTTTTTTTGCAACTGAGCTGTAATCTGTGAATAGGGTAGATGACTAATTTTTATTTTAAAGTCCGTCTGGTAGATTTTTAAAAACATTAGACACGTACTTTTTATTTTTTACGGAAACGAATAGTTTCGAAGATATATTGATTTGAAATGTCGCGTGACGTCACTTCTATGTACATTTTATACGTAGAAATGATGTTTTAGCCCCCACCCTTATACTTTGATTCGTTATATCTAAGTATCATTTTATTATACAACAAAATAAACAAATACGTGTCTAATATTTTTTCACTACCTAACTGACAGACTAATTACTCTTTAATTTTCATACCCTGTCAACATAACATAACATCACGCCTTTTATCCCCGAAGGGGTAGGCAGAGGTGCACGATACGCCACTGGACCATGTAACACCTACTTTTCACTATTTATGTTATAAGTCCCATGGAATAGGGGGTAAACCTAAAACCTAAAATAATAGTTCTTTCTTTATCTTCTTTACCAGTTAGACATCTGCAAACACCTCTACTCTGTGATCACTATACTTATTGGATATAAAGTCGCGGTGTCCGGCGTTGACTGGTCATTGACCCGGCGCACGCGCATCCAACGCTGCCAAGGCGTTTTTATGGGAGACACTGACTCCGGCGCGTTTGTTTTGCTATTTAAGACAATTTGTTTGGACATTGGTTGATTTAAAATGCTATTTTAATAAGTGGGAGTTAAGTTTAGTATTTATTAATATTTTACTTAGAAAATCTTTATTTATAAATATATTATAAACTAGATACTTCCGCGCGATTTCACACGCTCTGCTCGGCTCCTATTGGTCGTAGAATGATGTTTTATAGCGTATAGCCATCCTCGATAGATGCGCTATCCAACACAAAAAGAATTATTCAAATCAGACTTGTAGTTACGGAGATTAGGGCGTTCAAACAAACAAACAAAAACACAAACTTCCGCTTTATCTAATAGTATGAGATATAAGATTTTGTATGTCTGTTTTTCCTTTGTAATTTTCATTATGTTTAGTCCATATTTGAAAGAGAAAGGCCGGGAGACCATAGCACAGGTTATCCTACTTAGGTTTCCTGGCTTCCATAAGTGAATTGTCAGTAAAATTACGCAAAACTCTATGTAGAACCAAAGTCTCTCACAAGTTCATGTCAATATTATAAGAATAAGGTCTACACTACATCACTATGGAAAAATAAATAAAAAATAATAGGTAATTCATAAAAAAATATAATACTTTTAACAATTGTAGCCTAATTATTAAATAGTGTAAATTTTAAAAAAAATATTTAACTTCAATATCTGTCAAACACCTTGTTAATCAGTCTGAAAGTATTGCAGTTGCCGAGCATGCGGTTAAGTTCGATTCTTGGATCGAGTTGCGAATTTTGCGATTTTTTTTTAATTTCTCAATTATAAATCAGGTCGGATTTTGGAATTGTACCGGATGTTCAATAGGCTCACTCGATACACACTTGAGAGGTAACAAGCCGACATTTTGAAATAATTTTAATTAAAAATTAGTCTACTCTTTGTTAAGGGACAAAAAGACGTGATATTGGGTATGTATGTCTATACACACACACACATACACAGTGTTATATATAGGTACTTTATTCTCTCAACTAAGGACATGCGGAAGACACCCAACGCCCATACATTAGTTTTATTGGTCCTTTGCCCGGATCGAAGGACCAGTTTTTGTTAGATGTTGAAACTACAGGAAACTTAACATAAAGTCCTTATATGGAAGGCTTTATAACTTTGCTCCCGGCTGTCCGGGACAGACGTAGGTAGTTACATATTTCCAATTTTCTGAAGCGATTTTTGTTAAATTTTTGTCACAAAATAGACATGTAACAATATTTATCTTGTATTTGTGTAATTAAGTGTAATTTCTATTACTGAGTATATCTATATACTGTATGACCGTTTTCTACTTTTTAACTTCTTATTATGTAAAATCCACAACATTTGTTCAAACAAAAGTAGTCTCTAAACATCGATAATAAGGTCTATAATGGAGAAAGCTGAGAGCGGTCACCGGTGACTGTGACTGTGTGAGCTGATTTAAAGAAAGAAAGAAAAAGGTAGAAAAATCGTTTATTTCGCCACAACACACATGCAGGCAAGAGCACATGAAAAGAAGTACATGGTGCGCCACAGCGCAAAAGGCCATAGATCAGCTTAGCGCTGTGGCCTGGTCACGAAGGCTCGAGTCCACAGCGTTGATTTTCAACACCAGCCTGTTTAATACCTTTACATAATTGGACCTACCGCACCAGATGGCGCCAACGTGGACGTCTTGTTCTTCGTCCTATAGAGAATGAATGTGTAGAATAATAATGTCGTGGTGGCCCGGAGGTTTAAGATGCTCGCGGGCCCGCTTCTCATGCATGAGGGTGCGAGTTCGAAACCTACCAACGTCATGTACTGATGTGACTTTTCCCGAGTTATATGTACTTCCTAAGATCATATAGACACCACTGACAAACGGTGAAGAAAAACATCGTGAGGAAAGCTGGGCTTACAATTTCTAATTATAAGTTTGTAATCGCCAATCCGCATTAAGCAAGCGTGGTGATAAATGCTCAAACCTTCTCCGTGTGAGAAGAGGTTTTGCTCAGCAGGGGCCACTTATAGACTGTTGATGATGTATTGGATAAAGATCATATTTAAACCTTATTCAACTGAATATTATAACTATAAAAAGAGGTTATTTTTAACCGTAACACAATTAATATCCGTAACACATAACACAGTTCCGCTATTGAACATAACTCCGTTATTATTTAACTTTCTACACATATATTATATCTGTTACATATCATTTGTAATGCTTTCTGATTGCCGTGTATGATCTACATCTACACTAATAGTATAAAGAGGAAAGATTTGATTTTTTGTTTGTTTGTTTGAATGGACTGCCTGATTGTCCGAGTGGTCGCAAGTGCGATTGCCGGGAAAGGGGTCTCGGGTTCGATTCCCGGGTCGGGCAAAGTATTACTGGGTTTTTCAAAAAAATCCCAGTTGTAGCACGGAATCTGGAATTGTGCTCGGTATATGGCAATAGGCTCACCCCCTATTACATGGGACTCATAACATAAATAGTGAAAAGTGGGTGTTACGTTGTACAGTGGCATAATGTGCACCTCTGCCTACCCCTTCGGGGATAAAAGGCGTGATGTTATGTTATGTTATGTTATGTAGGAAAGATTTAATTTTTTGTTTGTTTGTTTGAATGGAATCGCCTCCGAAACTATCGGACCGATTTCGAAAATTCTTTTACCGTTGGAATCCTACATTATCGATCATGAACATGGGCTATATTTAATAGGAGAGAAAAAAGAAAAAAGTCATTATTATACGCGGACGAAGTCGCGGAAAACAGCTAGTACTAATTATAAAACAATCGTTTGTAAAGGAAATTGTGTTCTGATTTTGAGTGGTTACAGTTCAAAGTCGTGTTTAGTTTTGTGGTCCAGTTATGTTTTGTTAGCTGGTAGGCTAATATTTATGGCTTTTTTTTGTTTTTTATTGACTATCTTGTTGGTTAAGTAGTAATTGAGGGGGACTGGTAAGAATCTATGGTTTTTTATAGGTAGAAAGTGCATGTCAATTAGACTCTTTTGACTGGGTAATTTATGAATTAATATACTGTGCTGTTACAAACAGTTGTTGAACCTACGATATAACATAATATCATGCCTTTTGTCTCCGAAGGGGTAGGCAGTGCAGAGGTGCACATTACAGCAATGAATCACTATATAATGTAACACCCACTTTTCATTATTTATGTTACGAGTCCCATGTAATAGACCAATTGCCATATACCGGGCACAATTACAGATTCCGTGCTACAACTGAGATTTAAAAAAAATAAGTTATACTTGCCTGACCCGGGAATCGAACCCGAGAGCCCTTGCCCGGCAGACGCACTTGCAACCACTCGGCCAACGAGGCAGTCGATATACTTGCCCATCTACGACATAAATACTTGAACACAGACACTCCCGTAACATGAACTCAAGACCCTTGCCCAAAACTGTTGTCTATAGTTAAGTTCGAAATCGAACACAGAAATTCAAATTGATTGACAAGCCCAAAGTATTCGCAATTTGAAGTGACCGGTGTTAGTCGAACCAATAGCGTTGGGGTAGACGTGTTCTGGGGTGGAGACGTGTGGACAAACGTAGTGTAGGGCGCCCTCCAGCTAAGCGGCCTGACGATATCCCAAAGTGGTCAGCAGTAGTTGTATGCGAAGGAATAAAGACCAAGTTCAGTGCTGTGATATGTTATTGAACAATGAAGAAGGCTATATCTGGTGGACAGAAACTAGCTCAGGACAATGATTTTTTTTCTAAAAAAACCCCACATTAGGATTTTCTCCTGTATCGTGGGTGCGTTTACAAACATACAAGTTCACATACACAATGACACCCAGACCCGAAACAACTATTTGTGGATCACACAAAGTGTTGTTCCGTGCGGGAATCGAACACGCGACACGTTGCACAGCAGCCAGTCGCCCAGCCACCGCACCAACCGTGCAGTCGTGATGATGAATCGTTGACTAAAATTATTAACTTATTTTTCTTTCTCCCCCAGAAATAGCAACGACAACGGTGGGAACAGCCACGGAGGCTGACACCACAGCCTGGCCCAGTTCCGTTGCTCCGCTCGACACCCTCACCGTGGCGTGCGAGAAGGATAGCATGCATGTCACCGTCTCACTCGCCACACATGGGGAAAACAGGTAAGACTTGCTGTAAATTAGAAAATCTTTTTTTTAATGGGGGAAATCATCGTATGTCTTCTCCCGCCTGGGTGAAGCGGGAGGGAGTGTCAGACTCTTACTGACTAAAAACCACCCCGTTCCTACTCCTGCTCTTCGAACCGGAGTCCCGGTAACCCTCCTCAGTCCTTCGACAATTAGGAAGTCTACACAAGGTTTTAGACAGCGACTTCTTGCATCAAGTCGTAATTAAATTATATCCATTAGACTGGCTACTAAGTATGCGTATTAATTCGATTCAAATTGTATATTCTTTTGAAGAAGTATCAGATAGAAACTCTATGATTACTCTTTTATTAAATGGATTTGGCAGTCCTCATCAGAGCAATTCCTGGACGCTAGGAGCATAAGTCACAAAATTTTTGACACAATGAGCACGCAGTCCGAGGGAAGACAAAAGAATGTCATTTTTTTTATTTTATGAGTAGGAAAGCCATCGTATTCTTATTATTCCAAAGAGATTACGTCATTAGAATGATTTAGTGTAACTACTCTAAGTAGATCTACCCTCCCTGATGTTTTATGTAATCTTTCTCCTCCATTTCAGTGTATACGACACGTTCAACGGCATCGTCTACCCAGCGGGCCTGGGCAGCAACTCCTCGTGTCTGCGGGAGTATGTGTCGGAACGAGGCGACCTGCAGTACACGCTGCCACTCAGAGGGTGCAACACTATGTCTAATGATAATGTGAGTACTTCCTTATCTAAAATGCATACTTATTTACTACTAGCTACTCCCGCGCGGCTTCACACGCTCTGCTCAGCTCCTATTGGTAGTAGAGTGATGTTTTGTAGTCTATAGCCATCCTCGATAAATGCGCTATACAACACAAAAAGAATTATTTTAATCAGACTTGTAGTTACGGAGATTAGCACGTTCAAACAAACAAACAAAAAAACAAACTCTTTCGCTATAAATAATAAATAATAGTATAAGATAAGATATAAGATTATTTATTTAGTTTACTGCTAATACGGTTGATGCGGTGGCTGGGTAACTGGCTGCAGTGCAATTTGCCGCGTGTTCGATTCCCGCACGGAACTACTCTGTGTGTTCTGAAACTTGTTATGTCTTGTCTGGGTGTCATTCGTATATTTGTTTAGGTTTCTAAACGCACCCATAATACAGGGGAAAATCCTAGTGTAGGGCAACGTATCCTTAAAAAAAAAAGAAAATTTGCTTATTAAGCTCGGATATCTTTTAAATTTTTAAAAGTCGTGGCTCAGAACCCTAGAGCGCCTGTGCTAAGGCATCTCATGCGGCTTCATTGTCCGCATGAAGTGCCTCATAAGTACATGACGCATTAATTTATGTACTGTTTAAAGTTACTTACTAATAACCCTAGTGTTTAAGCTGTAGTTTAAAAGACGCATACTAACACAAAATGGTTCCTATGTTGTTCCAAATAAAAAACAATTTATTTATTATATTATTATTAAATCTGTCTCCATTAGATGAGCTGCAATTTTTTCTCAATTTTCGGTGGCGTTTCCGTATGTACATTCGGTGGTATCATGCGTGATGATTTGCCCCCTATGGAAGTGAAAGGTCTTTGTAGAGAGATGTTTTCCTTCGACTGTACTTATGACCATAACTCTACGTAACCTTAGCCTAGTTGAATTATTTTACACACAGTAACTTGCATTACTCTGATACCAGAGCAAGTTTCAGTTCCCTCTATCATTATTTTATGTGCGAAAACTTTAACAAACTATATGGTAACATTTTATTTATTTACTTATTATATTTTGCCTGACTGCCTCGTTGGCCGAGTAGTCGCAAGTGCGACTTCCGGACAGGGGGTCTCGGGTTCGATTCCCGGGACGGGCAAAAAATTTTAGGGTTTTAAAAAAAACTCGGTAGTAGCATGGAGTCTGGAATTGTGTCCGATATATGGCAATAGGCTCACCCCCTATTACATGGGACTCATAACATAAATAGTGAAAAGTGGGTGTTAAATTGTAAAGTGATATAATGTGCACTTCTGCCTACCCCCTTGGAGATAAAAGGCGTGATGTTATGATGATGTTATTATTTTTATCTACATCTCTGTGCATGCAATGTGCCGAATATATGTTATCTATCTTTCTTTCTAAATTGCATATAAATAATAAAAAAACTTCGAATGAACTAGGTCCTAGGTAATAACTAGCATAAACTTATTGTAGATAATGCCATACACTTCTACCTATCTTCACAAGAAATTGTTCACCTTATTATCCTACATGAATGTATATAGCTATACAATATGCGTACAACAGACAGACAGACAGTGAGACAGTACTTCCCAAGCTATTGCCAATTACAGTGCCTATGTAATTTGCATGGAAATACTAAGTACCATCGACAAAATTTGTTGTGTCTAGGTCTTAGAATTCTTAATAAATATTCTTTTATCGTATAATATGACAAAATATGAGATGGCAACTGAATTATTTGACGAGAAACTCGACTAGTTTCAAGCCATGAATATGAGCTTCTAGCATGGCTCAATCCGCACGAGCTTTAAAGAGCCATCAGACTACCACAGATGGGGCCCAATAGAGCTGGTGCCGATATGGAGCCGCGGAGCACTTATGGGGTTGCCGGGTCTCGAAGTGCAGGAGTAGGAACGGGGTGGTTTTTAATGAGTGAGAATCTGATAGTACCTGTCGCCTCACCCAAGCGGGAGGAGTTCGAGTTCCTCGTCAAATAATTAAGTGAGTAAGCCGAAAAGCTTAAAAATTCTCACGTATGTCTCACGAAAGTTATAATATAAAAGAGAAGATAAAAGAAGATTGCAGGGACTACGACATGTAACTTTGAAATAAGTGGAGTTAGTTACATTTTTTTTAATTTTGTTTAAAGCTGGAAATAAACTTTAATCTCATTCTGATATCAATAAATATTACAGCAAAGCACAAATTATTTAGAGTGGGACTGAATAGAATGTTGTTTTCTTCCATTCTCCACTATCAGTAATCATTCCATCACAGTTTACAATCTATTTGTAAGTATATGCAGATCACGCAAATCAACTTACTTTCTTCAGTCTTCTGCCATCACCGTTATATATAAATATTATCAAATTTAACTTAAAAAACACATATAAATCCTTCCTTTTCCTAAAAAAGCAATTCATCACTCGCTAAACAAAATAAATCACGACACACTAATGCTAAAACTGGTTTCTGCGTAGGATTTGCAACCTTATTTGTTACAAAATAACCATTTGTTTTCCTTGAAGTTGTTGTTTGTCATTTATTTCGGTCTACCGACCATGTCTCATACGTTAAAGTTAGCAGTCACAGACTTGAGTGTGAGCATCAGCCATGACATAAAGAAATGTTAAGCTTTTGCCTTGATATATACACACGTATATAGAGGTACAGCCTATAAGCGGCCACTAACCCAACTAAGGTCCTCTTCTCCCACGAAGAAGGTTTATTTTTAAGGAAGGAAAATCATCGAATGACTGCCCCCGCCTTGGTGAGACGGGAGGGAGTGTCAGACTCTTACTGACTAAAAACCACCTCGTTCCTTCTCCTGCACGTCGAGCCGGAGCCCCGGTTACCCGTTAGGTTCTTCGCGACACGGAGAAGGCTTAAGCATTATATTATTCACCACGCTTGCTCTATGCGGATAACGATTTCAAACTGATAATTATAAACATTTCCTCACGATGTTTTCCTTCATCGTTTGTCAGTGGTGTCTAAATAATCTTAGAAAGTACGTATAACTCGGAAAAAGTCACATTGGTACTTGCCGTTGGTAGGTTTCGAACCCTCGCGCATGACAAGCAGCCATCTTAAACCTCCGTTATTGTACGGTGAATCATATGTTTCATATTATTAATGTAATGTATGCTGTTTTTACCATTTTCGTCAAGTATGGTGTGGAGGACGCCTACTGTTACTGAGTCATGAGATTTTCTTGGCTTCGTGGCGTCAAATACAAGATTTTTTATATTTTTGTTGGATAGCCCACCCTGGAGTTATAGTAAGCCACCCACCGAGATCAGAAAGAAATCCATAACATATTATATATCTTGGCTTCTCCCAGTTGTACAGTTTCTTTTGTGCCTTTTGTCTCCTGCATAAATTCGCCGAAAGAAGTGAAAACTAATTTTTTTTCTTCACACATACACACATAACATCACACGCCTTTTAGTCCCGAAGTGGTAGGCAGAGGTGCACATTATGGCACTTAATGCCGCTATACAATGTAACACCCACTAGTAGGGAGTGAGCCTATTGCCATATACCGGGCACTATTCCAGACTCTGTGCTACTACTAAGATTTTTAAAAACCCAGTAATACTTTGCCCGACCCGGGATTCGAACTCGAGACCCTTTGCCCGGCAGTCGCACTTGCGACCACTCGGCCAGCGAGGCAGTCAGGTTTTTTCTTCTCCTCTAATATCTTCTGATGTATTTCATTGCGGGATCCAAGACAGTTATTCATGTCCCTAGGACGCGCCAGACTTTAGAATTCCGATGTTTTCATGGTTGTATCGACTGTAGATCCTGGCTTACGGGAGTCGCAGCGGTTTTTAGAGGTTATGGCGGGCTTGTCCCATAAAAGGATAAAATGTTTTGACAACCTTGCTTTATAATTAACTAGTAAACCTTTACATAAAGTACAATCACACAACAATAAAACAATTTCTAATGAATCAATAACTAAAGTAAGTTCACATATCACAAACATATTGCAAAAAATATTACAACTTTGATTTCACAATATTGCACATTTTGACAAGTTTAAATGTTCAAATAAAATAATATTACACAATTTTGCAACTATTATATTACCAGACTAAAGCCCCTGGACACCGACATATTTTGCCGATAGTACTTCACAAAATTAAGCCTGTAATTCTACGATAGACTATTGTTCTGTCTACCTCACACCTACCGGCGTATAAAGTGCGTCCTACACAGAAACCTTGACAATATACTTAATGAGAGACATAGTGAATAAAAAATTATATGACTACCGTTTTATTGTGTTCGTGGATTTGTAATTATGTTATTATAATATATTGCTTAGATGCCTATTTTAGTAGCGTCTAGTTGTATTAGGTTATAAGTGAGTAGAATTCATTTGTAAGATTCATGGGAGAGCCATGCTTCGCCACGAACGGGCCGGCTCGACCGGAGTGATACCACGGTCTCACAGAAAACCGAAGTGAAACAACATTTGCATTATGTTTCGTCGTGTGAGTGAGGTTACCGGAGGATTTCTTTTATACCGAAAATCACGAACGGGAACGGGAAAAAATGGGATTGCGTGTACGAAGTCGCGGGCAGAAGCTAGTACCATAATAATTACATACATACATACATAACTTCACGCCTGTCCCTCATGGGGGTAGGCAGAGACTATGGGACACCAATTACTACAATTACTTCATCAACATTCATCAATCTTAATTTCATGCATACTCGTTGGTTAAGGGTACTTTTAATTTGGTCAGTATATGTCCGTCTAGGGCGCCCTCTACCGACGGCCCCGTTCATATCCGCTCTGTATACTTCTTTCGTTACTCTACTTTCATCCATTCTTTCTGTGTGCAAACCAGCGTAACATTCCCTTTTCAATCCTTGTCACTACATCATCTTTTTGTTGAATTAATCACTAATTATTATGCCCGAAAATCCTCAAAACTAACTTACTTTCACTTCAAAAAAGATACATATTACAAAACTCACTCACTCACTCACTCAATTATCACTCTTTACTCAATGTACGTCTGTCTTTACGTTTGTGCTTAGTCACATGGGTTGCGCAAGCGCAGCGATCAGGACATGCGACCAATGCGTGAGCGCTTGATAGGGATCTACGTATGCTTTTGTAACGCATAAGAAGTTTTTGTAACGGGATCTTCATCATGATATAATTATTGTTATACATTACGCGAGTAATTCTTAGCAAAAAGGTATAAATATAAGTTTAGATGTTCAAAATAAAACCAAAGTTTTAAGTAGTTATATATATTTTTTTAATAAAAAAACGTTGCCCCACACTAGGATTTTCTCCTGTGTCGTGGATGCGTTTACAATCATACAAGTTCACATACACAATGACACCCAGACCCGGAACAACAATTTGTGGATCACACAAAGATTTTACCGCTGCATGTTGCGCGGCAGCCGGTTGCCTAGCCACCGCGCCAACAGTGCAATTAAAAATGCCTAACGTTTTGCATTCTATCTGTTTAAGGATAAAGAACAAGCATAATAAAGTTTATCCTTAACTCGTCGAGTACCGTCATTATAGAACGGAAACTAACTGAGAACCTCTGTTGACATACAGGCTTGTCTGT